ATAAGTGACAGATGATTGAACAATAGGATCATATTAGATATTTACAATGAGAGAGACCAGAGCGTGAGACAGAGAACGGTGAGAGGGAGAGCGGGAGATTAAGTTGATTTTATAAAATAAAACGTGAAGTTTCGGAACATAGCAGATTCTTTAGTCTCATTTCAGACACAAAGTAGAACTTTTTATACTGTTAGTAGAGTATCAGCAGGCTTCTAAGTGGCTACTATCAGCTTTTAGATGCAGGAGACAAAGCTGGAAATAGGATATGAAAAGCCAATAATGAATATAGGATGCAAATATCAATCAATTTAATTGATGGCTTGTCAATAAAAAGAGGCAAAGAAATGACTGTGTTTTTATTTGATTCATCTAATATTTGATAACTTTGAGGTCAACTGTCTCTCCTTGCCAGAAAGGTACGACACTAATTTAATTACCCTTTATAGTCCATCATTTCATAAATTTGCCACTATGACTTGAAGCTTCTATCAACTACACTTGTCACGTAATTCTGGCTCTCAGCGGTCACTTGGGCCAATAATTAACAATTGCCTCATACGTCAGCGTGCGTTCTTCGAGATATGAAGCACGCGGGAAGTTTGGAGAGCACGAAAGATGCGTAAGAGTTGCTCGAGGCGTAGCTGAGAGTAACTCTAGCTTCTTGAGTGCTCTCCAAACTTCCCAAGTGCTTCATATCTCGATGAACGCACAGCTGACGCATGAACCACTTGTTTTATAACATTTTCAACCAGATGGAAAATTTGTTTTCTCGAGGGATTTGTTTGCTGACGTCATGAGCGTGCACAATAGGAATATGAAGCACGCTCGCGCAATTGAATTTGATTACACAAATTTACTAGTTATGTTATAAACCTCTATATGTTACAGCTCGTTATCCATGATGGTTGATTAAGGAAGCTAAGAAATGTGAACAATTTTCGAGATTTTTTTTTTAACGAATGGAAATTAATTTCACGTCGAGAGAGATGCTTGTAGGCGAAATGTTGATGGGAACTCATAGTGTTTCTTTCTTTTGTCCTTTGTTACTTTGGAGATTTACTAAAATCAGCAAATATGGCTTCTGTTCGGCGCAAAACATTCATTAGTCTATGATTTGTTACCGCTCATTTCAGGAGGTTTTTAAGTCACATGCTGAGTGTTGGTTGACATACAAGTTCCCTGTGCAACAACTTCGGCTTTTACGGCCGCGAAATTCTGCCCTCTCGCTTGAGAGAAAATACCAATAGCTCTTTTACATTCAAAAACTGTGCTACTATTCCAGAGATAAAACTAAAACAGTGTTGTCGTTGACATTTACCGCCATCGAACACTTGAATGCAGAACTCCGCCAAAACTAACATGTGCATCACGATGTGCATCGTGACCCGAATACTTTTCGCTGTTCATGCTGTCTGCTAGACAAAAATTTCAGAATATTCTGAATGACTTCAAAATTTTGCGCAGAAATTTCTTATTAATAGCTTTTAAAATAACTGTGAGAATTGTTGCGGGCTGATTGGTCGAGAGCAAAAAGAATAAAAAATTTATCCAGCAAACTGATTACTACTATATGCGCTCTTTGAAGCAGAACGGAGTAGGGGAGGGAGGGAGGTTGGGGCAAGTAGGTTGGGGTACGAATAATCGATGTTCTTGATTCATAAGAAACATAACTCACAGAAAGGTTTCCGAACAAAACCGGCCAGAATCCATCTCTTCAATTTCCTTTTTTAAGCAGAGCGAAGTGGAGGAGGGAAGGTGTTTGGGACGAGTAGGTTGGGGTAGGAATGAGAATTCCTCATGCACTGATACTCATAGTTCAGGTATATTAACGTTCGGAATAATAAGTGTAATGTTAAACGCCCTTAGAAATAGCTAAAGAAGGAGACGAGAAGGACACCATATCAAGAAAACGTGACATGATCGAACTTTTTTTTCGTGCATGCAATCACTTTTTCATGCCTCAAGAATGAAATTAATGTCATTTACATCAAATGAAGGGATGAAAAACTCGTTTGGCTCCCATAATAAGATCATTTGACGCTATATCTAGTGATATATGTATTAGGATTACTATTTGACACTGGAATGCTGATCACCAGAACTTCATCGTCAGAAATTTTTTGATCGTAGGACGAGAATCAAGTCACATGGGCGGAGGAGAAACGATCAGACAAACTCACGCCTTAACAATGAACAACAGTGCTTTCTGTTTTACTCTTTAGCGTCTTTGGAATTACTGCATAATCCCTTAAGAAAGTTTCCCAAAAAAAGAGGAGTGTAAAAAAATGTGGTAAAAATAAGAATATTTTTATTCCCAAACCAACTTTCTGACCATAACCTGACTTAAAAACGATTAAATCACCATGAAAACATTATAACGTATCAAACATTACGATGCGTAAGTGACTTATTGAACCAGTTTCAAAATATTGCTGCCGTAACTTTTCCACTTTATAGTAATACAATTTTTGACTTTGATAGCTTTTTCCATGGTCCTATTTAGAAATCCATGTATTTTTCAGTCTTTTAAGCACTAAGAAGTGGTACTGGAAATGACCATAAGGAAAGGTTTCTTTTAAGACTTTTTCTCAAAAATTTAGGATTCTGTGAACGAAACCTATAACAAAAAAATTAAAGACTTTGAGAGAAAATCCTTTAAGATAACTGGCTTATTTTTGATGCTTAAACTACTGTTTCAACTTTCCTGATTTCACTTTACTTAAGAGCCCTTCGTCCATAACGTTTCGTGCTACTTATATCGGCCGGATAAGATCATTTTTGAGCAGAATAAAATCTCTCTCGAATACGTAACCAATACCTCCTTCTGAGAAGATCGGAAAAAAAACGCAAAAAAAATTATAATCAATATGCTTAATTGAAGATTGCCCATTCTTTAATTACACAATAAAATAACGGATAGAGTATTTTCTTTATTCGTTCTATTTTTTCATCCATTTAAAAGTCTCTAAGGTCTGTTTCCTTCGAGATATTCTCATCCTCTTTCCTACAACAAACGTAAAGAAGAAAAACAATTATAAATAAACAGTTACACCAGGCGCAATATGTAGGCAAATGTGTACTTGTATCTGATTGGCAGAAAGGCGCTTTCGAGATTATATATTTTACATCTAATTGGGAGAATCAATTGTTACTATTTGAAAGAAACCGAAAAAAATGGTATAAAAGTAGCTTTGGTATTCATGGTGACAAAGGATTCCCGCCGACAGTCAGCGACCAGTAAGTCAAAGCCACCTTTACATCTAATTTAACTTTCATTTATGAAATACCTGTTCTGACCGAGTCTCACCTCTGCTTGTCAAACTCGAGCCTCACATCATCTCCAATCAGCGTAAACGAAGCCCAATCAGACATTTTGTTCGAGCCGTTTCTTCTCATCCACTTCATGGCCTGATGAAGGGATTCACTGGCACTTTCTCCTTCAACAAGGAGTTTGTAGAACCGATTCATCAGCTGCTCCGTTGCTAAGTCTGAAATGGCCCACAGCGCAACTAACACCGAGCGAGCACCAGATCCTAAGAACGCACGGGAAATTCCTATCACTCCCTCGGCTGTTATCTCACCTCTTCCACTGTGACAGCAGCTAAGTACCACCAGTTTAGCTCTAACTTTCACTCGTGAGACATCAGCCATCGTCAACATGTAAGCTTCCTGTGGTGGGATAGCATTTGGACTGTTGGGAATAGGAATGGGGGAGAGGGCAATTTCTCCTCTTTGGGCGTTGCCATGGGCAGCAAAATGTATCAGGCTCACTGAACCTATCCGCTCAAGCACCGCCTGCTTCGTTGCTTTCTCTTCTACCAGAGGCGGAACACGCATCAGTCGTCCAACCATCTCCGCTTCCTTTCTTGCACATGGCAATGGCGGCAGCCAATCAACCTTGGGATTTCCTATTATCAAGGCACCAGTGTTACTGTGATAGCCCTCTGGACTATCTTGAATAATCTTGAGTGTTATCAAAGAAGGAATGACACGGATCTTATGAGTCTCCGAGAGATATTCGGCTCCCTCCTTTTCACTCAATGCAGCAAATGGAACTTTGTACAAACTGCGGTCAGGAACGATGATGACTTCAGGCCCCTCCAGCAAATCATAAACGGGAGCAATCTTGCTGAGCTCTTTTGTGCGGGGGAGAGAGGTTGCACGTTAATCGTATTTAAAGACCGATCTTCACAATCTTTAGTAGGCAAAATACCAAGACCCCGGAAATTATCATCCAAAAATTGACTCAAAGACAAGTCTTTGGGCAACCCAGCCTGAACTAGATTCTCTTCTACTGATATTCTTCTATTGTGAAGGACTCCACTTGTTTTCAAGATCCACAAATGCAGAACATTCTGAAAATAAGAAATGTACAGACAAGTACAGTTATTTTTCTTTCTTAAAATGTTCTCAATGCCAAACCAGGATTGTGGATTAGCAAAGATGTGCGTTCGAACCGAGTACTTCTCTGCCATTAAGTCTGATAGGCCTCTAGCGCGACCCAACTCCTCAACATAGAGAGCATCCCGAGCATTTCCGGTGTCACAGAGCAAAGTACAAAGCAGCTTGTAGGGAAATATTCCTGAGTGCTCCAGCAACGATGTTTTGAACTCATCATTGGTGCCCAAAAAATATCTCAGCTCCTCATACTTTTCAATGCACAGATGAAGACACGACAGAGAGTCTTTGATTTTATTTTGAAATAAATACAAAATGGCGTAGCGTCGAAGGATTTCGAACTCTCTTCTTCCAGCTCCAATATCTCTGGATATGAATAAAGCTTTCTCCAAACATACTTCCGAAGCTTCATAATCACCAACAGTTCTAGAAACATCTCCAAGGTTTGCAAGATATGCTGCTTCCCCTTCCTTATCACCAATTTCAGTTGCGATGACAAGCCCTTTTTGAAGATACTGTTTAGCCTTGTCGTATTGGCCAAGCGACTGAAACACAGTACCTAGGTTTCCATAACATGATGCTTTCCCTTTTCTGTCACCAATTTCAGTTTTGATGACAAGCGCTTTTTGGAGATACTTTTTAGCCTTGTCGTATTGGCCAAGCGACTGAAACACAGTACCTAGGTTTCCGTAGTCAGTTGCCTCCCCTTCTCTGTCGCCAATTTCAGTTCCGATGACAAGCGCTTTTTGGAGATACTCTTTAGCCTTGTCGTATTGGCCAAGCGAATTAAACAAAGTACCTAGGTTTCCGTAGTCAGCTGCCTCCCCTTTTCTGTCGCCAATTTCAGTTCTGATGACAAGCGCTTTTTGGTGATACTCTCTAGCCTTGTCGTATTGGCCAAGCGACAGAAACACAGTACCTAGGTTTCCATAACATGATGCTTCCCCTTTTCTGTCACCAATTTCAGTTGTGATGACAAGCGCTTTTTGGTGATACTCTTTAGCCTTTTTGTATTGGCCAAGCGAATAAAACACAGTACCTAGGTATCCATAACATGATGCTTCCCCGTTTTTGTCGCCAATTTCAGTTGTGATGACAAGCGCTTTTTGGAAATACTCTTTAGCCTTGTCGTGTTGGCAAAGCGACAGAAACACATTACCTAGGTTTCCATAACGTGATGCTCCCCCTTTTATGTCACCAATTTCAGTTGTGATGACAAGTGCTTTTTGGTAATACTCTTTAGCCTTGTCGTATTGGCCAAGCGACTTAAACACAATACCTAGGTTTCCGTAGTCAGTTGCCTCCCCTTGCCTGTCGCCAATTTCAGTTCTGATGACAAGTGCTTTTTGGTAATACTCTTTAGCCTTTTCGTATTGGCCAAGCGACTTAAACACAGTACCTAGGTTTCCATAACATGATGCTTCCCCTTTTCTGTCGCCAATTTCAGTTTTGATGACAAGCGCTTTTTGGTAATACTCTTTAGCCTTGTCGTATTGGCCAAGCAACTTAAACACAGTACCTAGGTTTCCGTAGTCAGTTGCCTCCCCATCTCTGTCGCCAATTTCAGTTGTGATGACAAGCGCTTTTTGGAGATACTCTTTAGCCTTGTCGTATTGGCTAAGCGAATAAAACACAATACCTAGTATTCCATAATATGATGCTTCCCCTTTTCTGTCGCCAATTTCAGTTTTGATGACAAGCGCTTTTTCGAGATACTTTTTAGCCTTGTTGTATTGTCCAAGCGACTGAAACACAGTACCTAGGTTTCCATAACATGATGCTTCCCCTTTTCTGTCGCCAATTTCAGTTGTGATGACAAGCGCTTTTTGGAGATACTCTTTAGCCTTGTTGTATTGGCCAAGCGACTTAAACACAGTACCTAGGTTTCCGTAACAGGATGCTTCTCCCCTTCTGTCGCCAATTTCTGTTGTTATGGCAAGGGCCCTCCCAAAATATTCCTTCGCTTTTAGGTTTTCACCAACTTTATAAAGCATAATTCCAGACTCGCTGTATAAGGCAAACAGTTTCCTCCCGTATCTTTCCGCACTTATGTCGTCAGAGATATGACGATAAGCGCTGAAAAGAACGGTATAGATGTCGCTGTAAAATTGTAGCAGTACTGAATCAAATTGGTCTTTGCTGTTTTGATCGGTGCTATTTAGCAAAATCAAACATTCGCTGCATATCTCAATGGCTTTCTGAAAGCGATCTGAGTTGAGCAAGAACAGGGCAACAAATAAGGCGATGCTCATGAAAGGTGTCATGGCTTCTGCTGTTAGGTTTCCATTGCCATCCTCTCCTGTAATCAGGGAAACATCATTTTTAGTAACACAATACTAAATGAGTCGATAACCTAGATTAATAACGAGTCACTACAAGCAGGAACACACATGTTAAGTTACAAAAACGGGCTGGGTCGATTACACCCAGAAACTATTTGTAACAAGCTGAAAGTGTTAGAAGTCACAATATCCCCATAAAACAAAAAAATAAGTGAAGATAAATAAGTTTGTCACCTTTCATTTTACTCAAGTTGTGATTTTTGCAGAACATTACATGACTTTAAAGTCTCAGGGCAAAGATAAACAAAACTGACAGCATTTATCTTAACTTTTGCAATGAGAACTTTTCTCATGCATAGTTTTTATAAACAAAATTAATCAACGGGGTAGGTTTTGGAATAAACTTTGGTGGGGTATTACAAAACTATTTGGCTTTACCAATTGAGTTGACAATGTAAATTGGCCATCGTAATGAGTTTCTGAAGCTGACGTTTCGAGCGTTAGCCCTCCATTGGTGCATTTGATAATCTTGAGGAATCAATGATGTTGTGTTGCTAGTATTCCGCAAAGAAACCAGTAAAGAGTGTTTTGCCGTATAAATGTAATGCTTCGTTTTCTATCTGCATTTTTACCGGCCGTCAGAACTTATTTACAATAAAGCGTCTTGGAATCAAGCTACATGCATTCAAGTTTTAAGCGTTTCAATTCTTAGGCTAACAAGAGAGATAACCTTTTACAACAACTCTCTGGAAGATTTCTCGACATTCCTCAATATCACATGGAATATTTGAAAACATTTTGAGGCCTCAGAGGTTTGACGAACTCCAGCTTTGTTGCAAATTCATTTCATCCGGTGGCGATTTTTTGCACAAAACATAACATGACTTTAGAGGCGATCTCTGTAAGAGCGGTCCAGGGCGTTTCGCATCGGAAAAAGGTTTCCCCTCAAACTTTGCCCAATAAACTATCTATGGTAACAAGTATATAAAACCACATTAGTTTTTGGAAATACGTTAAAATAAATTTTTAGAGCTCTCAAAAGTAAAAGCTGCAGAAGGCCTTTTTTTGACCTCTTGCGACATCGAAAATTTCAAAAGTTAAAAAGCCCGGTCCTCGTATCACACCGCATGCAGCAGAAAATATTTTGTACCCTTAAACTGTGTGATATATAAGGTGTATAAAATGCATTTCAATCTTGATATTCGTTCATTCAGAGGCTCGTCATAATTTATTTAAAAACACTCGTGGATAGCTTCTGAAATTGGTCAAAAGTACTCTTTCTTTCTTGTTTGATATTGCTCAAGTCCAGACCAGACCATTAAAAACTCCGCTTGATTTCTGCTAATAAGATGTTTGGCTGCAGAAAAATATAAAAACACCTTGCACTTATTGATTTTCTTCGCAGAGGTGACTTAAAACTTTTAGCGGTATTGCTAGAGAGACAGCCGATTATGCAAATTAGTTCATTGAGCAAACTCCGACAGTTTTCTATGAGTAGCTCAATAAATCTTTGATTTTAAGTAGAAAATATAGTAGGACAGAGCTTTAATACCACACCGATTAATACTTTAAACATTTGAAAAGGCCAAAATTTGAAAATTTGACGAATTTTATTTTCTTGTGACGAAAGACGTCAAGAACAACGTATTGAATAACATAATTTGATTAGCGCTCGCAAACTCTTTTTTAAAAATTTGGCTTCTGTTATTTCATATTTGAGTCCTGACAGCTTACGCTACTCAAACCTGTATGAACATTTCAAAACCAAACTACAGGATTCTATTTAGTATAACCGGCGACAACAGCACACACCGAAATACACTGTGACCACTGTCACGTAATTCAATTGTGAAATTATCCTGAATTGCTTCTCTCCTCGTAATAAAGCGGCGATAACATCGCCTTTTGGATCAGAATTCTAGTCGGCAGGAATAAGTGAAAAGTTGTCTACACAACTGTCTTTATGAAAGTCTCTATTCAGAACTCTGGGGAGTTATTGTGGAAAAGGACCCCGCAATTTTTGAGGAAATAAATTATTACGTTACGTGTCAACTCATTTTTCCAACAATTAGGTATATTTATGTTGTAAAGCGCGTAATTTGATTCGCTGTAATTCTTGGTTTGCTTGTGATTAATAACACTAAATTCTTGAAGCGGTATTCGCAACAAGAAGTCTTGATTTCAGTCGCGTTTCTCAGAAACTTCGTTCGGAGACTCACGAGGAGTTTCCGGTTTGTTTAACTTGCCTCAGAGTACTGACTCAATAGAGAGTCATCTCTACTTAATCCATTTGTCAAAAGAGAGTGTCGCAGAAGAAGAGCTGTTTTTTTGCAAGGGCTGGTCTGTTCCATGTAGAAGACTCAGTTATGGCAAAATGTGGGTCTGCGCAAAGCATAGGCACACTTATGGGAAGTTCTGGCGCCAAAGTTCAGTGTGCCAGTATCCGACACACCCTGGTAGCGATCCGAAAGGGGTAAAGAGCCGGTATTCTGCAATTTGCAAATGTCAAAGGCCATTTCTAAGATGTATGGCGTTCTATAGAGGTTAAGACAATACCACAGCTGAGGGAGTGGATGGTTTCAAGGATTTTCTCAAAATTATGGACGAATTGGAACGCGTGGGAGCAGAAAAGGATTGGTGTAAAGAAGTTCGGAAGAGGCTTCACGAGAGCAAGTTGTATTTGAAGTCTACATTCCGTAACCACTGCGAAGAGGACGATAGCAAATGTGCCGATCACTGTAGGGTCACTGAGCGATGCTGGTGACACTGACTTTCAGAAAGAATGCAGTCACAGTCACAACGTGAAATCTGAGGATCGTGAGAAGCTGAAGTGTGTTCTTGAAGAAGTAAAAGGCGCTATCTGTATGAAGCAAAAAATGCTGCCGCTAAGATCTTTGAATGGAGAGGGCATATCCTGAGAGCAGAAGACCAGGATCAGTACAAGCGGCAAATTTTCGATGCTTTGAAGGGAGATGAAGCATTTGTAATAGTTGACTGGATAATGAAGTTCATAGCGATGAAGTTCCAGGAAAAGCAAGCAGAATGGTTTGCCAAGAGGGAAATCAATTGGCATGTGAGTAGCGTTTTTGTAAGACAGGAGGAAAGCCTGGAAGTAACCTGATACATACACCTTCTTAACAGCTATAAACAAGACTGGTTTTCAGGGCTGTCAGTCCTAGAAAATCTCTTTGTCACCATAAAGTTACGAAATTCAGGAATAATAAAGGCCTTTATGAGATCGGATGAAGCAGGTTGCTATCACAACAGTAAGCTGGTATCATCTGTACGAGAGCTCGGATATCGCCAGGGAGTCGAACTCGTGAGGTACGATCCGATTCTAGGCCACAGGCTTGAAAAAATATGTGTGACAGGAATCTGTGTCCGTTTAAAGCGTCAATCAGGAGATACTGCAATGAAAGCCATAATGCTGTTTCTGCCAAAAACATACATACCGCATTGAAAGAGAGACCAGTCGGGGGAACGACAGCATTAGTGTGCATAGTCCAGGAACAGAACTCAACCGTATAAATTAACAAGATTGCCAATTTCAGCAACTTACACAACTTTGAGTTTACACAAGAGGGCCTGCGTGTTTGGAGAACGTTTAATGTTGGGCCTGGAAAGTTTATTCAGTGAAATTAAAATTGCAATTTTTTCACAGAAAAAAGACGGATCTGGTGGAGGAGATTCCATTTTTCCCCACTACTGCTCGACGAACTGCATCAGCAGGAGAAAGCAATGATGGTAACGACGGTAGTTCCTATCAATGCCCTGAACCTGGTTGCGATGAAGATTTTAAGACCTAGGCCGACCTTGACCTCCATATAAATTAGCTAGTTCATCATGTAAGTCCTGTGCCTGCGAGCATGATTTAAAGTCTTTATGACTCAGTGAAGAGGTAGTGGGTTTATCACTTTCAGTCATTGTCATTAGAGGGTGAACTGAAATGGTTGCATTGGCCACAGAACCCTTGACAAGTACTTCAAAGCTTCCCATGGGATGGGCTCTTCATAAGAGAGGTGCAAGTGAACGGCTTTCGCAAATGGTCAGGCAGTACTTGACACAGAAATTTAATATCGGATGAGACACTGGCAGAAACCAAACCCAGAAAAAGTAGCAAAGGATATGCGAACTGCTTGCACAATAGATGGAGAGAGAATGTTCGATAGAACAGAGTGGTTATCCAACATACATATTCAGGGTTTGTTCTTGAGATTGTGCCTTAAGCACTAAGAACTGGTACTGGAAATGACCATAAGGAAAGGTTTCTTTTAAGACTTTTTGTCAAAAATTAAGGATTCTGTGAACGAACCTATAACAAAAAAATTAAAGGTTTTGAGAGAAAATCCTTTAAGACAACTGGCTCATTTTTGATGCTTAAACTACTGTCTCAACTTTCCTGATTTCACTTTACTTAAGAGTCCTTCGTCAATAACGTTTCGTGCTACTTAAATCGGCAGGATAAGATCATTTTTGCGCAGAATAAAATCTCTCTCGAATACGTTACCAATACCTCCTTCTGAGAAGATCGGAAAAGAAAACGCAAAAAAAAATTATAATTAACATGCTTAATTGAAGATTGCCCATTCTTTAATTACACAATAAAATTCTCGTTCTATTTGTTCATCCATTAAAAGTCTCTAAGGTCTGTTTCCTTCGAGATATTCTCATTCTCTTTCCTACAACAAACGTAAAGAAGAAAAACAATTATA